CACGTGAGTCCAAATGGAAAACCTCGGAGTTATTCCGATTTGGAAGGCATTCGTCACCAACTCAAACTGTCAGACTCCAATCTGGCTATTTTCTAGCCCACTGGCTTCGTTCTCCGTTATTCTTGTTATGCTTGTCCACAAGTCGATGATATATATATATATATATATATATATATATATATTTAAATACCTGATTAATCATTGGCTTAGTGTTCTTTCACTTGACGAAAATGGTTTGAAACACGTCTCAAAGAATGCTAGGATTCAAGAATTGAAAAACGGGTAACAGGGAATCAGCTTGAAGTAGGTTGCATGACTTATGTGTATCAATCAACAATGTAGTCACCATGCAAAGTCACTATATTAATAAACAATAATTCTCACTAGATTTTGACTGTAAAAGATAATTAAAATGATTATTGTGCAAGTCATAAGTTAATTAATATAAAAGGCAGTGGTGTTTCTCCACCAGGCTCTGTGTCTATCAGATAATCTTGACAAATCATTCCCAGCTAGACAGACAGCATTTATGAGTAGAACCTGATTTGATTCACTTCTATGGTGTCCGGCAAGTATATTCAGTAGTCATTTAGGGAAAACTTAAACCGTAACCGTCTTCACTCAAGCCGATTGACCACACAATGTTCCTAGAACAAAGGAGAGCAGTATGCATCAATCAACTGAGAAGGTAGGTCAAATTAGATCGTCATGAAGGAAAGGACATCCCGTAAAATTGCAATAAGGATCTATATGATCAGTAATTCACTTAATGCATCACAATTTTGTATCTGATATATCAAGCTTTCGAAAGAGTTTGAAGAACAGATATTGATCATAGAAATAAATTTGAAATTAGATTTGCATTTTAGTTATTTTGATCTTACCAACCCACGGTCGGTTACTACGTTTCAAGCTGTTTTATCAACGTACCATAAAATCAGTAAGGGACAGAGCATAGAAATTTACTATTGCACGAGGCTGATCACCTGGATGGTTCTCCCTAAACACTTTATTCCGTCTCGGGATGTTCCCATCAGACTGACAACAAGGAACATATCAGTATTGTTTGGTAAAAAAAAAGTCATTTTGAAGCTAAATAAAAATCAGCGTGCCTATCTGGGTACAGCATCTATGAAGATCGCCCTAATGGTCGGATCGCTAAAAGTAATTCCATCCACTTAAAAGGGTAAATAATCAAATAAAATAATTAATTCTTCTTGAAGATAAAACTAAGAGTACTCACGGATAAACACGAATAGCAATGTGATTCCGAATAGTCCTTTGGCGAAACGACACAGGTGCTGTATGAAAAACTTTGTCTTCAATTTTCCATCGTAAAAATGTGAATGATGAAATTTATTACCGAGTTCATTCAAATTCTAAAACTGGTTCATATCCGTAATTAAGGGAGCCAATCAAACGTCTGCATATATTTGTGCTCCACAGATCAATGATCCCAGCGTTTGCTTNACAATCAGGGATCATGTATCATTTTCGAAAACGAATCATTCGATGAATACATCAACTCCGAACCCGCCTAACGACTTAAACAAAGGTGGTGCGCTTTTGTGGGTGGCTAATAGTCTCCAACTGCCACCTCGACTGTGTTCTACAACTGTCCTTTCACTTTCCTCAAAGTTTCGCACACAGTACCACCTAAGTGAACGGAACCTAAAAACTCTGTATGCATCAGTGCAAGTTAATGATTCGGTTAAGTCTCACGGTGGGCCAGATTTAGCTAAAATAATCATTCGGTCTCCAAGCGGTTCACTGAAATTTTTGCTACCGGCCGACTGTTTACATATAGACAAACCATTCATCAGTTTTGGAGACCTGGAACACAAAAGCACTGACATGTGAGGCTCACTACTGAAACGTCTGTCCATACTATTCAAAAAAGCAAAGTGTTGATCCTCGCCTGGCCAAAGAACCGGCGGCAATCACTCGCGGCTGATCGACTTCAGCAGGGAACGAATGTCCAGACGACGGCGGTTTTTCACTTACTTAGTTGGTTCAGCGGTTCACTCCCAGGGAAGCTGTTTAACTGGTTAAACTTCGGCTTTCAGATGGGTGGACATCAAGAACTGTGAAATTGGTTATGTGCTTCTGGGATTTTTCCCGATATTCATATACCACTCATTAAACAGAATTATACACGTACCTTTTCAATACCCATTTTCATCACATACATATATATCAGACCAAAATCAAATATAGTCTTCATTTGTTATTTAATTAAGTTTAGTTATTTATTTAATTAAAGTGCGAGGAAAATAATGAGTGTCGTTCCAGCTGCTTCTTGTGGGAAATTGCCGGAACCTAAGTACGAACGTTGTCCTATTCAGCCAAAAGATTCCGAGAATTCTCGAGTTCACCTTTTCGGACAATCGCCGTTGCGCTAATAATTTATATTATTGCACCACTTATTACCGTATAATTATGGGATAGGTTTTCATGGTTCATAACATGAGTGACATCCAACGGATTGGACAAATGTGAGACCAGGCATTTCCACCGGAGATGAATAATTAGTAATGACGGAAACTAAACTGCATTCAGGCAACATTCATGGAATGGATCAAGTGGTTCATTCAAAATACAGACAACGACAACTGAGGTACAGTCAGTTCAAATACGCTAATTGGCCTTAAGATTGACAAGTTTAGGGAAGGAACTATCTGGTCTCCGGACAGCGTATCATTGTGAATAGGATGATAGTCGACCGATAAGTTAATATGAGTGGTTCAGTGGTTTCTTCTCTAGGAACAACATTTTATGCCCAAACGTTTGTTATTCCTTTACTAAAACATAAATTATCTGTACTGTAGCGGGCTTTTCCGAACAAATTCATTGTCCAATTAGTGTTTTATCTTTATGCTTCTCTCACTGTCCCTGGGTAAGCACACGCGAAACAAAGCAAATAATTCGAGTCTTACCTCAAGTTTCATGTAAGTTGGTTAACTAGTGGATATCTAGGATTGTTTGATTTACTCCGCTATTCATCAGTTTCTCCTATTGATTTCTTTCCCCTTGTTCGAGAGTTACGTGGTCCGTGACCCATTGGGCTCGAAAAGTGTGATCTTGGGGAGCCGTTCAATCTATTCGGATGAACAGTTCAATGAATGAGTTCAAGTGACTGGAAACGACTATCATCATTGATAAATAACCCATTAACAGATTAGGTCTATGCTAATGAAGCAGGATAGTATACAAATTCATAACTCTAAGATGTAATAATATTTAACTAATTCAAATACCAGAATCGGGTATCGTGTTTGTTCCGAGAACACGGGAATAATATCGAAATAGCATCTGATGAAGTGTGACTTACAGCCAAAAACACCGGCCACCGCGATAATTGTTCCCATGCACACATCACTGCATGCACAACACAAAGTGATGAAGAGGAATACCAGTGCACCGGCAAAAATGAAGAATGCGATTACCAGGCAACCTAACGATGCTTTTGCCGCATCAGATAGATAATCATCTATGAACAGAATGAGATTGGTAAACGAGTGGTTAGGATTTACTTCGAAATTCATCCTTTTGTTCGATAATGGCAGCTAAAGTGCACATGACACCCAGAGCACAGGCGACCATACACAAAACTTTTCCCAACATTCCCATGTTTCCGGCTGGTTATGTGTAAATTTCAAGGTTTATCTCAAACGGAGGATGTGAGAAGGTGAGTCCAAGTAAGCAGACCGTCGAACAAGCGTTCACAAAGGAAGTAGAAACGCTGCGACGGGTGAACCGCACGTTTTATACAGCTCTCACAAATGCAATCTGCCTCGGACGATCGATGTTCCCGGCTGGCGCGACCACAGTGCATTCGATGCGTGGGTGCACTAATGTACGGCGTCTGTGCATTCGTACACGCCACAACGTCTGTGTGTGTGTGTGTGCGCGCGCTCTAGCGAGCGCACGCACGTGCGTTCGTTCTCCGTGGATCGGGCACAGACGGCCACAAAATAGACCGCGCCATCGTTTAAACTATCATCATCAGCATCGACCAGTCAGACCCCTGTTGTCTATTTCACTCGTTCCCTCTCAGTCTCGATTCATATAAGTTGCCTGTTCAACCGGCCCATCGATCGTTCGCATAACCAATCCCAATGAGACCAATCATTACACCTGAATTTGATTGGCCAATTCCCGGTGAACCGCGCGGATTGCTTGGACAATGTAAACTCGAACGGGGCATGGTCACGATCTGGGAAAGCATAAAAATATATGGTCAAGAAAGAGGAGGATGTAGCCCACATGAAGCGATCAATACGCCTGTGGGAATCCCACGAGGAAATCGTACCAGAGGGAAAACCGCAGTTGAATACGTAATAACAGGGAAACGATCTGGTTGAATTCCGACAACATCCTGCTAACTAATTCATTCTGTTTCCGTTATGAATAATAACATGTTACTAAATTGAAACAGTAAAAATGATTTAGTCACATCTCGAACGTATTACCATAATACAAGGACGAACACTGCATTAAAGTAAAATAGACTGTTTTTAATCGATAGTTAGATGAAGAACCGCCAAATTATTCCACATGTGAGTTCATGAGAAATTGGATCCAGGAAGACAGTGATCACCGAGAGAGCAAACACACACGAAATGCAATTATTTCCAAGCGTGAAATGTACAAATTGTATTATGTTATCTACTCTTGTTCTGTAAAGTAGGACTAAATGGTCTATCATAGTGTAGGGACAGAGAGAAAGCACCAAATAGTGCTCGGTGAGATTGTGAACGTCACGCGTTCGAAAACGAATTGACTAACAGTACGCCACAACAAACCCATACTGCTGTACAATACTCCTGTTGCTTGCTTTGAATCGCCGATTTGTTCCAATTTTATAGACTTGTTAATGGGGCAAACAGATATCAAATGCTTGCTGTTGGTTGCCCTGCTCCTAATCGATTTTCAAAGAATGCCCCATTTCGAATATTGAAGGGAAATAACTTATCCATGGCAAATTGAGAACTTATTCCAAGTAGAACTCGATAATTTCCTTTTATGGCAATGTATCTATATGAAAATTATATAACCAAGACCTTCAATCCCATTTATATGTATAAGTGGCCCACCACTACTACCCTGTATTCAACTATTTTTCTGTTATGTGAATGAACTGTCTCTCAAGAGATATATTACCCAAAAACAATTCGTAAGAACACTCGGTCTTCTATGGCCAACGCCACATACGACACAGCCATCTCCCAACCCACCCCTAATGGCCCAAACCAATGTGCATGTGTGAGGACCAAAGTGTGAACGACATCCGGCCATGGAACTGGAATGTTGATTATCTCTTTTCCAATTTGTCATGACTTCTCCCCCCATTCTAAAGAGTTTGATATAAGTCGTGATGTACAAGAACCACCGCAAACGAGCTTCCTCGCTACTTTGTTTTCTTACAATGGGTACTGATGGTATATTCGGACAACGTTGTATTGGCAAGAAAACGAATCTCTGAAAACGAGCTTCCTCGCCACTCTGTTGTTTTGTTTGAGATATGTTACAATAATTCTCCTCACAAATAAAATGCGTGGAATAAGTGGCTTCAACAACTCATAGTGATGGGGACTTAGAAAAACCTACATATCCAGATGTCTGTGAATTCGCCGGAATTGAACAAGACCGATTCTCACTAAACTACTGACGAGCGATGCACACACACGTTCTTGATTGTCGATTCAGTGTTGACGGTGGTGGGCAGATTTCGCTACTGAATCTAAAGGTTTAGGCGTACGAGTTCCAACAGGGACATTAGGATAACACGCGTCGTTGCTGTCCCCAAACGGACAAAATAGCTGTCCATTACTGTTTGTCGACCATTACACTCAAAATATTTATCAAACATAAAAAGAAAACAACTCAAAGTACTGAATAATAAATGTATATAGTTGGGTTGATGTATTCGCACTGCTGTTGAGATCCAACTAGGTCGAAAGAGCTGTCCAGTGCTTCCTAGCTTTTCAGTTCACGCTTCATTTGCTATATACACGATGAATTCGCCATTGAAATGGAATCAAAGCCTACAAATCCTCACTTGAAATATATATTTCGCAAAGAACGGATCCAATAATCCATACTTTATCAGAATCCCTGAATCATAAATACCCCCGGGGATGTAATGCACTACCTGAAACTGCTTTCTTCCGGAGCAATGAATAAAGTCAAAACCAAGAACCACTCAGAACAAGCGGTATAGATCCGGTCAGACTCTCTGCATCGTTTCATATGAATGAGCATTATTTCATTACAATAAATAAATGCTTAAAATCTTCCAGCTCTGTTCTGTTGCCCTGCATATGGAATCGCAATCTGTCTAAGAGATGTTGTCGAAGGACGACTATTTGGGAGACCGGGATCACAGGAGTTCATGGAGTTATAACACAAATTTAATGCTCCAGTTCCATGAAAGCGCAGGAAAGGAGTGCAGAAGATTTGTGATAGTGTCTCTGTAAAAACCTACCTGTAATTCAACCAAGTTAGACCTCCAAGACAATGTGATTTTGTGGTGATCCAGACTTCCGTGACCGCAATCCATGCACGACTAGGTACAGTTTCATGTCATCCAATTACCTACCGTTTACGAGGCTCGACCAATGGTACACCGGGCGAACATGACATCTGAGTTAGCACATATGATACGTCGGTGCAAACGGTTACGTGATTAGGGGATGCTCGTTCAAACAATCATATGGACTATTAGATTCTATAAAATATGATCTAATTCCATAAATAAACATAAGCATTTGCTGCTATCAATTCTTCGTGTATTTCTTTGGTGTCCGCAGTTCGGGTTGGAGCCAATTCAGTTCTGAGCAGTACAGTACGGATTCTCGTATTCCTTAATTCAATACTATTCCGATTACCACAGATTTATTTTCAAAAAACTATTTCCAGCTTAGTTTACCACCGTGAAGTATCCGCGATAAAGAGTACAGCTTCCGCAAACATAGACATCCTTATGGAGCCAGGGGGTGTACCGATCCGCAGTCAACTGGCTCGAGTACAGCTACGCGTCATATTGTGCTTAACAACGTGAGTTTTCAT